TGAACAACAAATAGGAAAAGAGAAATGAATCTTTTAGTCACTCAGCTTATCATTTCTTCCTCTTCCGATGTTTAGGGTGCTGTGGTCTGTCATGATGTCATCGTGGTACAGCATGACATTCTGCTTCAGCATTGTGCTGTAACATTGAATTTGTTGGCAGTTATTTGCCGGGCAGCCTTAGTACAAGGGTTAAAGAAGGCTGGGAGGACAATACCAGCAGGAAGGAAGTGTGGAGGAAAGAACAGTGTCAGGAAAGAGGGTTGTGGTGTAAGGAGAGCTCCATATATTGTATAAAATAATATCTCAAAAGAACTGGGACACTGTGATCCCCCCATTCTCACAATATAGATCATCAATATCCATGAGCTTAGTATTCAGGTAAATGAAAGTGGCCTGTCATTTGTCCACTTGCATTTGCATGTGTCTGGCCACCAACAGAGGTCATCATTAGAAAGTCAGCCCTCTCCCACAATTCAAATAGTACAGTACAGTTGTTTTCAGTTCTGTGTTAAGGAACAAACCTGTAGTGTCTCAGACACCACTATGTGGTAACGGTGGGTAAATGGTGACCAATGAGTGTAATTAGAATCGAGGGCATTTTACTGTTTAAATGGATATCATGAGCTGGCAGCTGAAATATGCTCAGTGCAGCTAAGTAGCTGGGGGAACAACAATGCCTTTATGCCACCTTCCTGGCTCCACAATTATGGAGCTAGCCAGGGTAGTCCCAGTTCCTGGCATAATTAGAGCAACTTCAGGGTTGCTCTAATTTATGCCCAGCTACACATGGCCGTAAAGGGTTTGTTTAACATCCAGGGATCACCAGAGCACAGTGTAGAATCACTACAGAATCTGAATTCAGCCTACGGATTCCCTTAGTCGGAGTTTCCTGCTGCTTTGCCCCATTGAAATGGAGCTGAAGATCTGTCCTCATATCCATTTTAGGAACAGCTTTTCATGCCCTGTGCTTTACATCTTCTATTTTTACTCTTGTCATGTATTTTCAATAAGCTGGATTTCCTTTATAAATCTGGGTTTACTTCTTTCCTATATTTTATTGGTGTTAATCCTAAAAGTAAATCTATCTTTGGCCCCTTTAACTTGAATATTTGATGTAATATTTGCATTCAGGGGGAAAAAATCTTTGATATGGTCTTGACCTTAAAGATTTTGAAAGTCAAAATCTGCATACCAATGTAAAGCCTGATCTCTCCTGCTGAAATAGCATTGACTGACTCTCACAATTAGGCAATAACTCTTGTTCATGTTACTTTCTTTGCAAAAAAAGAAAAGAAAAGTAATACAAAATCTTCACTGCAGATTATCTAGAATAATTTAGAATCCTATATTATTATATTGCTTTGTACAACTCAGAAATGAAAAACTGTTTAATGAAAAAATTAAATGATATAATAATAGCAATCTCACATCAGTCAGTCATGCACAGCCAATTATGTTATATTAAAATCTGAAAACTGTGCCAAACAATATAGGGGTCTCTAGCTGTGGCACTTAAGCTAAAGTTCAGCATGACTTACAGTCTAGTGGTATTAGTTTGCTCTATATTTTCACCCCTAGACAGTAGGCCAAATATTGGTCTGATGTAAACTGATTTGATACGCCACTGAAAACAACAGAGCAGCACCCACTTACATTAGGTATAAATTTGGCTCCAAAACTCCATTTGTTGTTATTGACCAATGTTTGTAATTGTTGCTTTGGATACCTTGAATTGATTTTACATGAAATTGGAATCATTCCTCATACTTGGAGCAAGATGGGCCAGTCAAACCAAGATTGAAGTCACAGGTGTAGCAGTATGAAGAAGAATGCACTAGGTATGGGACTGGATTGCTCAGAGGATTGTAAATGACATATAGTGTCCTTCACCTCTGTCACTAGTTTGAACCCAACACCCATTTTGGACTGTTTGAAGGCCGATGTGAAATAAATTTGGTGGTCTCCCACTAGGTGTCCCCATCACAACAGCTGGCATTAACTGGCTCTCTTGTTGATGTTCTCAGCATAGATGTACAATTGAATAGGTCAGCAAGGCTGTTTTCTCACACCTAGATGTGGTCCCTTGTAAGGGAAGAGGCAGCTTTGTGTGGTAGTTTGATGCAGCAGTGGGGAAGCTTGCATTGCCACTTTCATATTCACTGCACTGGGCCGTGTCTGTTCTGTAGGTAAGCAGAGGGCTTCCTTCCCTAGCACTTTCAGTACAACACATTTTATGAACACTGAATTAAAGCACAACCAAAAAGAATGTGGCAATTTAGATGATAACTCTACATGTCATGATCATAAACAAACACAGTGACAGTGGAGAAAAGCCTGGTGCTCTTGACGTTTTTGTCATTTACTTTAGCGGGGCCAGTGTTTAACACAGTGCGATTACACTTTGGTGTAAACTTTGACAATTTCCATGTAGATTTGTATTGTCACCCCCAATTACTGGAGAGATGCTTTAATTGTGAAGCACTCATATTTTGATTAAGGTTACCATTTGATGAAACTCTAATTTACTGTAGCTCTTGATTCAGGTTTAACTGAATAATCCCTTTTAAATCATAGCAAAATGTGCAGTCCGACTGTGAAAGGAGACCGCAAACTGCAGTCTAGCAGATATCATTATGTAGCAGTTTCAGTCCAAACTAAAACAGCAACAAAAAGTTCAGCAAGGGCTAGTGTGGACAGATTTTACACCAGCAAGATAATTTGAAAAATCTATACATGTTCCATTCTACTTCCAAACGTACTGTCATTCTATGAATGAAATGAGAAGCTGTGCAGGTAATTAAATATTTGCCTTGGGGAATTATTTGCAGTTAATTAACGCCACACACTTTCAGTGCATACCTGCTCTGCAGATTATTAAATTTAGATCAGATGTTAACTACCTGATTTCCTCACTTATCCATCAAAAATTGTTCTCGGCAGGCTTAAGGAACAGCGTCCTATGGTCGCTATGAAGGTCGCTATCTTAAAACAAAAAAACTTCAAATCCAGACTCCAGCGAGAAACTGCTGAACTGGAATTCATTTGCAAATTGGATACTATTAATTTAGGCTTAAATAGAGACTGGGAGTGGCTAAATCATTATGCAAGGTAGCCTGTTTCCTCTTGTTTTTTCCTACCCCCCCCCCCCCAGATGTTCTGGTTTAACTTGGATTTAAACTTGGAGAGTGGTCAGTTTAGATGAGCTATTACCAGCAGGAGAGTGAGTTTGTGTGTGTATGGGGGTGGGGGGGATGTGAGAAAACCTGGATCTATGCAGGAAATAGCCCGACTTGATTATGTAAAGAGTTGTCACTTTGGATGGGCTAGCACCAGCAGGAGAGTGAATTTGTGTGGGGGGGTGGAGGGTGAGAAAACCTGGATTTGTGCTGGAAATGGCCCACCTGTTGATCACTTTAGATAAGCTATTACCAGCAGGACAGTGGGGTGGGAGGAGGTATTGTTTCATATTCTCTGTGTGTATATAAAGTCTGCTGCAGTTTCCACGGTACACATCTGATGAAGTGAGCTGTAGCTCACGAAAGCTCATGCTCAAATAAATTGGTTAGTCTCTAAGGTGCCACAAGTACTCCTTTTCTTTTTGCGTCCTATGGTGGCACTCTGTGCGATTTTAGAAGAAGGAAATGTGTGGAAGTGGCGCTCTAATATATAAACAAATTGTCTCATAACTCTGCTTGTTAAGTTTCCTTATAGGAATCTGTCAGCATGGGACAGTTTTACTGACTGGCACAACTTTGGGGTATGTTTTCCTCTTGATACATATGCACACATCCCCTCGTATTGTTATCACTGGCATTATTATCATCTCAAGAGCAGTATTTATCCCTAAAATTTGGAAAATTTCCATTCACCTTTGACTCTGTAGCCTGTGCTAGCAAGGGTCAAAGGCAAAGCTGTGCAGAAAATGATCCCCAAATGTCTCGGTGATGGGTTGAATATAAAAACATAGACTTTATAGGCCCAGTTGAACAATATATTATCATATAGTTGTATAATATTATTTTCACCACTATAAATGAAACAGTAATGGTGTGGGCTGTATTGCCAAACATTTTCCTTCATATCTTATTAACATTATGCTCTATTTGTATGTTAATGAGGTCTGCAGCTAGTGCAGAAGAATGGGAGTTCAGACTCCTGGTCTAGTTGTTCTTATGACACTGGCTCAATGTACGATCTTGGACAATTCACTTAGCTGGGTCTCAGTTTCCGCATGTACTAGGCAAGTGTACTAACATCATCATCATCATCAGGAGTGAAGTCTGGGACAACTGATGTCAACAGGACTTTTGCCATTGACTTTAATAGGGCTAGTATTTCACCTAAGATATAATAGGGGTTAATGTTTTTAAAGTGCTTATATGAAAAGTGCTACTGTAACCCACACAAATCCTGGATGTGGTGTTCTGTCCCATCTAGTGGCACCGAGACCGCTTAGAGAGAGAGATTAATGAGTCTGCTCTTCAGCCTTAGCTAATAGGCAGATGGTTTTTAGCTCATGCAGTGGAGGCTCTCGTACGAAACTCCAGAGATCCCTGCCTGCTGAAGACCAGGGTCTGTCAGTGTTACACTACTGCTATTTCCAAGAAATGGATAATATAATTAATCAAGTAGATGGGTTATTTTTCCTGTTGTTGGCCATATCTTTGTATTATTTAGCTTGTTAGAAATTAATTTTGTGATTCCATGCTGATTTTCTTATATTTTCTTTACACTTAGCTCCTTGTTAGAAGTCAGTAATGAAGACAACACAACAATAACTGTACAGTTTCTGAAATTAATTTGAGCAATTTATACCTGTGCTATGCTTTTTTTAATTATATTTAATATTATGTTGAAACAAAAAGAAATGCCATCAGAGTAATTTAATACCAAATATGAATCTAGTATTTTCAAGTGCTGGATTCAGGTGTCCTAAGTAGTTTTCAGATGTTGCCACCAGAAAACAACTACAAGATTATTTTGTTTGTTGTTTTTATCAGATTCCTCAAAAGAGTCCGAAGCCACACAAGAGAATGACCCAGCACATCATGCAATGTGTGAAGAAGATCAAGATGAAGGTAAGGTTACCTGTTGAAATTCTTTAAGATGCAAATAGTGAATCAGTTGGGAACCTAAATTGTTTCAGATATAGCCTTCAACTTTTTCACCTGTGACCTTTGTTGCCTCAGGAAAATGTCTACTATATAACTAGTAGATGTTATATGCCAATCAGTCTTGATACTGTCATCTCTAGTGTTACTGGAAAAGGAACAGGCTTCCAGATATCTTATTTTAGCCATGTTGATTCTGGGTCGCCCCAGAGCATTATATTTTTGTTACCAGAAGCCTGCTATATTGGTTTCATTGCTTTATGTAACTTGAGTGTCAAGTACAGGTGGTTTGAAGCAGCTGCTAATCCATACTCTGGTGACAGCCAAAAATATTTATCAGAGAAGGCTTCAGAGCTCCCAGTGATAGACAATTCATCATGGTTGATGCATCAAAATCAGTATGCTCGCAAAAAATAGAACACTATAGTCCAGAGTTTCCATTAAGTGTGGTCTGTTTTGACTACTACTTCATACTAAATACTAATACTGGGGAGGACTTTCATACATATTTGAGCTATTTGTTTTTAACTTTTATAAAGTGACCCCAATGTTATAATTTCTAATTAGAAAGCAAGCAAGCAAACTGGCTTCAGAGAAATATGCTGTATATTGGTTTTGTACCCAGTTTTAGTGTTCTCTCTTCTGTATGCACATAAGTATCCCACTGATGTTATTTCCAATCTTTGATGTTAACAGGACAACAGGATGTTTCCACAATTGATGAAATGAAAACTCAGACAGATTCCCAGAGCTCCTGCATGGAAACAGAAGGTATGAGAAATGCTGTATAAACAATGAGTAAGATAACAGTGACTCATGACTAATTATCAACAGAAGCTGTGCTATGGCATTTGAGGTACCACAGTTATGTCTCTATACCTAGAAGGCCACATTCATTGAATTGCCCTTCCTTATGCCAGATCCAAATTTGGCTCCGAATAGGAAATAACGATGGTATCTCCAGTAACTCTCAGTGGTAAATGCTGACTTTTTAATGGCATCCATTGTAAAAGTAAAAAGTTAAGGGCTAGATTGTGCAACCCCTACTCATGACAGTGAGCACTTAGGTCCCTATCATGCCAGGTGATGAACTCTCTGGTACTAGTCCAGCAAAATATTTAAGCACATGCCTACCTATAAGCATGTGACTTCAGCGGGACTAGTTAAGCTTAAAGTGAAGCGTGTGCTTTACTGGAGTGGGGCCAGAGTGTCCCTTGCAGGATTGAACCCATGTTCACTGGAACTGTCCCTCAGCCTCACTGGCACTGCTTACATGAATACTCAGCAGTGTGAGAAGGATTCTACAATCTGGTTCTATGCTGATGTTTTCAAGGATGAACCTGTAGCATATATTCATCATTTTATTCAACATGAGTTCTGAACAACAAACTGTCTCACTTCTGTTTCCCATCACATCCTATTCAGAGCCCTTGTCAAATAAAGAGGATGCAATCAAGGTCGAGAAGCCAATGACTCCTATAGTAGATGAAAACAAAGAAGAAAGCAAAGAAGAAGAGACAGGTAAGACTTTCTATACATTAGAGGTAGGCAGAGAGTTCAAGTAGGCTGCTGCATGAAATCCAAGTTCTCTTGAAAGCTGTGTTTGTGTTGGTAAGCACAGCTATTTTTTGTTTTACTACAACAAATTTAACTACGGCAACAATTTTCTTAAATGAAAGACATAGCAAATGAAGATGATATTTTAAGTCTTTTTTTCCAGGTGGCGTTAAAATGTTGTTATGTATTTGGTTGGAAGCCACACAAGAAAACATAAGGGGCAGGAAAGTGATATACTCAAGTTTCAAAATAGCTTTGAAATAAACACACAAGCTGTTTATTGTGGGTTTTTTACATTTACCTTCAAAAACTGCTGATTAAAGAAGCAATTTATCTATATTTAAGTATCCTTTCTCTTAAAGTCAGTGAAAGTACAATACTGAGTGTAGTTGCAATAACTGGATATTTAAACGATTTATGAGATTATAAATAGAGATTTAACAATTAATGAACTGAAGCTAGTAATTCTAGTAAAGAAACCAATATTTGGAACACACACACATAGAGTCCTGCTGAAGCAGTAATCTTGTCCGAGAGTACAGTATTTAAATCACTATTTATTCTATTGTTAAGAAACACAGAAGTTCAATTTTCAGAGTTTTAGGAATTCTTGTGGGAGCCCTACATCCAGCCAATCATTTATAAAAGTCATGCTCACATAAAAAAAGCAATATATTATGGAAATAATTCTCTAATTGTAAAGCAAATGCAATTATATGACCTTCCTTGGTAGAACATATAGGTCAATTACAGCTTCATATTAAAACCCAAACATGATCTTTTCTGGAAATCCAGGTCAATACTAACTAGATCTTCCTAATGATGAACTCCTTTTGCCAACCACGTTGATACTGACTTAGTTGCAAACTCACGTTAGTAGTATTGACACTTTTCTTCATTGCAAACCCAGGTTACACTCCTCTTTGCTTAACAGCATCTTCTCTCTCTCTCTTTTTTTTAATGCAAATCCAACTTGATACTAATCACACACCTCTTTACAACAAGTAATGCTAACGGTATCTGTGTTGTGTTTTATTACTGACAGTGATAATGTAATCAATATAATACTTCAAATCCAGGTAAATAGTACTCCTCTCCTTCAATGCAAATCCAGGTTTTATAATATGGACTCATTCTAATTGCAAATACCAGAACCATTATGTTAGTTTCCTTCTCATAGAAATTATTTACATTTTATTTTATGCCTCATCAAAAGCAACTTTTGCACAAAGTGTACTTTCATATTTGTACATTTCCTTCTCTTTAATACTTTACTGTCCCCTACAGCGAGTGACTGTCATTTAGCTCTCAGTGGATAGATTAGATTTCACCATCTGTTCTACCTAGTATGAAAATATGCCGCATTAAAGAAGGTAATGTCAGAAAAGAGGTGTTCTTGGCACTTTTCCTGTCCCTTATTTAAAAGCTTCTGGGATCAACTAAGTTAAAGGGTCTTTCTGAACATTTCAGAGCATTGTGATTTAGGTGTATTAATGGTACTTACATATCAAAAGTTCATTGATGTTCATGGAAAGACACCCATTGACTTCAGTGGATTTTGGATTGGACCCATAACAGGAGGAAGTACTGTGTTGATTCTACACATGGATAAACTGAACTTGGATAAACCTATAAATGTTTCTTATAGTTTGTTTTGAAATGCATCCTCCTTTAAACTACCTCAGGCTGGGGAAATAAATCAATGCTTTTTAAAAATCCAGACAAGGGAAGGAAAATAAGGCTTTCCCCTTGTTTTATTTCATACTAATGTGTATAAAAATGTGTAGATAATTTTCACAACACATGTTGTAAGCTGCTTTCAGGTTTGATGTACACAGATGCCGCAACATTAGGTTTCAAAGTTAGTCAGCTTGTAAGATGGATCTTGAAAGGAAAGGGGGGTGGGGAATTGAACAGCAGTTGATGCAGATAAAATAGTACAATGAGTATGTCCCAGAGAGACTTCTAATGGCAAGAGTTCGCCTGGCATAAATAAGAGATTTTATATATAACAGTGTCTCATCGAAGCAAAGAGCTGCCTCAAACTAATTCAGTTAAATGTTTTCAGCAGCACCTGCAGGACATTGGAAGTAGAACAAAATAACATATTTTTGACTAGCAACGCTGAAAAAGAAGATAATACTGGAGTGTTATTCCAATGAAATAAAATCCAGTCATACTACTTTGTTTTGATATGAAAAGTGTGCTTTTGATCTGTGGTAAAACTTCATGTGTATTCCAATGTAAAGCAGTGCAGAATGCCATCCTTGTCTGCTTGACATCAGTTCCGTTTTAGGACTAGGCTGAGATATTAGGCTCATCTTGGACGGATATGTACCATGTCATCATAAGAGGAGTGATTGGATTCATGGGAGTTGTCTGTGACCATTCCACATCCATCAGTGGAGGTATGGGACCAGCTAAATGGATAACAGGGGTCAGATCCCCCTTGCCAATGTAGACCCTGGTGGAAGGGTGTCTGCATATTCAACCTCTCCTCCACTGATAGCCACCACAACCTGAAACATGGTGGCTACTAGTCAGAGGGCGTGTCTACACCTGTCTACACTTACCGGGGATCGATGCTGCAGCCATCGATGCACCGGGGGGTTGATTTAGCAGGTCTATTGAAGACCTGCTAAATCGACCGCAGATTGCTCTCCCATCGACTCCAGTACTCCACCAGAACGAGAAGCATAAGGTAAGTCGACAGGAGAGTGTCTCCCATCAACCCAGCGCAGTAAATCGACCTAAGCTACATCAACTCCAGTTGGTGTTGCAGAACTTAGGTCGACTTACCCCCGCAGTGTAAATAAGGCCAGAGAGAGGGCATGTACAGGACGGCTGGGTGAAGCAGCATTGAATCAGTGCGTGCCTTCAGCAATCTCTGCTGACAGGTCTGTTATGGAACCCTTGATAGAACCTAGTGCTGCCATCCTGTGCCAGAATGCTAAGGGGAGGGCAGGTTGAAATGCCATTTGCCTTTCCCTGGGATGTATTGAGCCAGCAGCCTGCACTTCCTTGTGCCCATGGGGTTAACCCAGGCTTATGCAGTGATGCATCCAAACACACACATTTTTTCTTTGGGTACATTTCTGATACTATATAAAAATGAGCTCTTCCATTTCCATCCCATATATTAAGATAGATTTTTTTGGTTGAGGTTAATATTTTTCCTGTTAAACCTAGGCCATTTATATTTTGTAGTGCAAGCTTGGTTTCTCTCAATGTATTTTACAATGAAAAACACTTGGTGTGAGTTCTACAAAAATATTTTTTTCTGAAACACTGATAAAATCAGGGTTAATATTATAGAGGTATCTTTTTTCATACTTTAACTAAAAGTTAATATATTACTTGGAAGCAAAGAAAGAAAAAGAGAGACAAAGCAAGATGCAGTCTAGAGTAACTTTCTTCAGGTATTAGAATCCACTCAATACTAGTCTACAAAACAATTATGAAAACCTGCATTTCTCAGAAGATTAGGGAACAATCTCAAATCCTTTTATGATCACTGACCAAATAGGACATACGGGAAATGCCATACAAATGCTTTTAATCTTCAATTTGGCAATTCTTATATATACGCTTGGAAATCTTGCCATCCTTTTGTAATGGATGGACATGCAGGCTTTAGTGGCATTTTGAATCAGCTCAGTTTTTTTGGTGTTATTTTTAACAGGGCTAATAATTTATAACAAATGAAAATGAAAGTCATATTACTTGGGTGTATATATAGCTGTTTCCTAGCTCTGAGCCTACTCTCTCCACTTACATACTCAGTCTCTCCTTATATAAAGATATTGGATCTGATGATTTCTCTCATCTGTCAACCTTACAGCCTGCTCTACCCCTTGGAGGACAGTATTATGTGAACAGAAGTATCCATTATTTGCCCCTTTTCTGTATGTTGGATAGAATATTGTCTGTTTTCTTATTGCCACCCCATGATATTATCCTACAATTATCGGAGTTTTGGATAGCTCAAAAACATGTTTGTAATCTCTTTTGTCAGAGCAGTTCTGTAGGAGATTTCTGTCTCTTCATTCTAGTCTGGAAACCAGTGCCATTTTCCCAACATCACCTCCTCAGTTTGAGGTGAATATCCTCAGTAGAGGTCCTATTACTGTGACACCTGGAATGCTGCCCCACTCAGAAAAGTGAGAAAGTAAATTCAGAGTAAAATAACTGTGCCTTCCACTCTCTTGTCTTCACAACGCACAGCTGCTAATTTAATGGAATAATTCTTATAAATGAAGGATCCAATTTGGGTAGCTGCTCACTGCCTACACTAGATAGTACAAATGTTTACTTTCTTGTAGCGGTCTGCAAAAGAGCAGAAGCAGAACTGCACTGAATAGTTAGACACAACCCACCACTGAAGGGTACTTTTTAAAGTGCTGTAATGAATCCACATAGAGGCTAAGACATATTACAGTGTCCTACCTATAATTTTGATCCAGAGCTGCCAATATATCTACCAGTGAGTAGGCAAGTAACTGCTTATCCATCATTTGATCCATTCTTCATTTGAACAGCTGAATTCCAGGTCTTTCATCCATAAATTCTTTAGAAATGAATAGGTGCCTTTGCAGTATAAACTTTGAGAAAATTATATATCCTTGAAATCTGGTGAGGAAGATGTCTCAATTTTTCTAATATATACTTGCTTCAAGGATTTTCGCATACATTTGAAGATATTGACAGAAGTCATAAATTCTTTGCTATGTCATTGTTTGCTATGATAAAGAAACAAAATAAATCTCAGAAAGATTTGAAACAAAACTGACATCTTTAGTATGGAGCCACAGTAGTTGTAACTAGCTTTTTTTTGTAAACCCAATTTCTTCTCATCTCCAACACCTTCTCTAAAGAGCTGAAATGGACAAGACGTGTGGAGAGGTGAGATTTTAAAAATGAGAAGTTCTTTGTTTTTTTGGAAAAATCTAATCTATTTTGGAATT